CAAAACTTGTAGTGAATGATATGGCAGAAATTCCCTTGCACAAGAGTTGTAACTCCACAATTGTAGAAGCTAGTGGATATGAGAATATGACTTTGTGGAAAATGATTGTCGGAACTACATTGAACACGGAGGTCAGTGATGTTGTCACTTTTGATACTACGTATCTCACTAATAAATACGACATGTCATTCGGCCTTTTTGTTGGCATGAATCATCATGGACAATGTACATTGTTTGGCTGTGAATTATTATCAAATGAGGATAGAAAGACTTTTATGTGGTTGTTCAGAATATAGCATGAATGCATGCATGGTCAAACTCCTAATGAAATTATTGCTGATCAAGATTGAGCAATGCAAAATGCAATTTAGATTGTTTTTCCAAACATGAAGTATAGATGGTGTTTGTGACACATTACGAAAAAGTTGTCAGAAAAGTTTGGATACCACGTTCATAAGAGCTCGATTTTTCCCGCTATACATATATTGGTTTATGATTTGGAGAATATTCAAAGATTCGAAGAAGGTTGGAGGTTGTTGCTTGATATGTATGATTGGTTATCGGGATTGTACGAGAATAGAGGTCGTTGGGTGCCTTTTTTTGAACACCATGTTCTGGGTAGGCATGTCGATGATACAACGAAGTGAGAGCACAAATGCATTTTTTATGGATATTTACATTCGAAGATCTCGTTGGAGCAGTTTGTTGAGTAAAGTGCACTAAAAATAAAATTGAGAAGGAGTATCAGGATGATTTGAAGTCATATTCCCAAATGGTGCCATGTGCGACAACTTTTGAAATGGAAAAACAATGTCAATCAATTTATACCATTTCAAAGTTCAAAAAAATTCAACAGGAGTTCACTCGAAAGGTATATTGTGACGTCATATCTGAAAATGCAAATGACTAGTTTTAGTTGACCTACGTGGTTTGTGAGCATGTAGTACTTCATGAGCACCTGAAGAAAAAAAACATTTTGCATATCATTTCAGAGGGATACATGTGAATCGATTTGTAGCTACCACCTCTTCAAATTTTGGGAAATCATTTCTAGGTATGAAATCACAATCTTGATTCTTATCTTTTTTTTGGTATTTATCTTTCCCAAAAGTTACTAGACGAGAATGATCGGATTTGGGCCAAGAAAAATGCAACTTTCCTTTTTTGCGTCAGGCACCGCAATGCCTAGAATTGACGTCGCAACGCCTTACTGAAATTTTTTTTTACGTTAGACGCTATGGCGCCTAGCTTTCTGTTGATTCTTCCCTTTTCTTGGGCACCCAAGTGCCCAATTTCGGCGTCACGGTGCCTATGAAGCTACCCCTTCTTGCTTTGTTCAATTTTCACACTTCGTTGCCATGTTCTTTTCCTTTGATTCTCTTCACTTCATACTCGAATTTTTTGATCTTCATTACAGCTCCATCACAACTCCAAAACATGGCTTTTTTTTAAAAGTTGTCTAAGCTGCAAAGCAACATGAAGATCCACATCAAAATGTTCAAATATGCTCAACGACAACTAGAAAACTAAGATTTAAATTTGCTAAATTGATGAGTGAATTGTACTCATCAAACACCCCTTAAACTTAGTACTTTGCTTGTCTTTGAGCAAACACAAAATAATGCACCAATATGGTTAACCCAAAACATAATAAGTGCAACCCATCACACAAGACATGAAATTCAGAAACAACCTCTACACATTGTTCTTTTATGGCTTAGCGTTGAAAATACAATATCGAATTCATGAACCATTTCAAAGTTATGGTGCAATGATCAAATTCTTACCGCTCCAATGCAAACATGTGTGTGTGTGTGTGTGCGTGCTAAGAATATAGTGCTGGACATTTCTGGATTGGTTCATTTCCTGACCGCAAAAGTCCACTATTTTCTTTCACCACTCGTGATGTTTTGCATATCCCCAAACTTATTTTCTTTTCACTCTTTTTTTTTCGAGATAAAAATTGTAGTTTGTTTGTTTAATTACTATTCCTTACCCTTTCTAGCTTAGTTGGATGTTCCTGTTGTAGTTCAACCTATCAGTAGATGAAGTTTCTCCTATTTTTAACTACATCAACCGCCAAGAATCAACTAAGTTACCACCCCTTGTCAAAAGCTTAATTTCTAAAATGAGTGATCTGGGCTTAATCAAGGCATACAAAGCCGTTTCTCATTTTTTTTTTAGAATCTCAAATGCATACGTCTCTCCATTAAACTTTCTAAATTACTCCTATAGCGAGCTTTAGACATGTGACACCCAAACCAGACGGCTTTAGGGTACCAAATTTTAAACTCTTGCAGTCTTAATCACTCGAATCATAAAGGCTACAAGGAGACGTTTCGCGCAAACATTATTTGAACTGTCTCCCTTGGGATTTTTTTTTTGGCAATGAGTAGTGCAATGCCCCTTATTAAACACTCATTCTCGAAAACCAACCTTGAACTTAAGGTTTCACCAAATTTTCATCCCATTAGTCTCAGACAGTCCACACAGAGTATAGCACACACGGAAACTACATCCTCATCCATGTCTCCCTACAACAGTTCCACCATCTAAACCATCCTACAGTTGGTCAAGGGATGTGCATTGTTTAGGTTTAGCGGTTGTTTGAATTCATCTATGAGGGTAACTAGTTTAGCCTATCCCAATAATGAATCGACCCATTATTGTCCAACGTTATACTCCATTTTCGTGCAGTTAAATTACAATTATTTGCAAGGGAAAGTAAATATATGACTCAAGCACATAACTTATTTATAATCCACCATCGATTCACATTCCCAAACATATGCATCATTGTCAACAATGTTGTCCAACTCACAGAGACATGCAAAATAAAAAATAAAAAAAAAGAATTTCTTTTTTCACGTACATTTAACATGGAAACCAATAGACAACACACAATATAATTAAAAATTAGAAAACTCTCCCCAAACTTAGATGAAACATTGTCCTCAATGTGAAAATGAAAGAAAGTATGGAGGATACCTCAAGAGGACACTAAATATCCTCATCGCCGTCTGGTGGGGCTAAAGGGTGGGAATGTGATGTAAATTGCAGTGGTGGAAGAAAAGTCAGCTTAGGATGGGCAGAAGCCATGACTACAATGCAAGCATTCTGATATTGAAATTGGGTATAGATTGATGTCTCTAGGCAATCCATCTGCGATTGCTTGCCTCCTGCCAATGGGTTAAGCTTAGGTCCATGGCTTCCAGTCGTGTAAAGGTGTCCCCTGTAGTAATATTAGGCAGAGGCTAAGGAAGGTGTTGAGTCAGGCCATAGGGTTGAGATGAACTGGGCCTGTCCCGATGTCCCTTGAGCTTATTCCAGAGTTTCCGCGTGAGAGGGGGCTTAGGGTGTAAAACTTCGTCGAACTCCCTCGTGATGACACCTCTTTGATACATAGCTCATGTATGAGCGATGGATGTCCCAAACTACTTGTAGCAGAGCCAGCCAAGATTCGCAGTATGCCATTCTGTATGACTTTGCCGATGTCAATTGAGTAACCGTTTTGAATGACATAGTTCAATATAGCACGATCCTTGGTTTTCTCACTGATGTTGTTGCTAGGCATGAGTTTGGCAGAAATGAAGTAATGCCAAGCCTTACAATTGCCTGTCAAGCCCGAGGCAGGAAAATTTGTCACATCACTTGCACTCCGTTTCCATCTAGTCCCTTCTCGAGTCAATGTGCGAAGTAAGGTCATGGGGTCGACTCCTTCCTCTCACAACCTGGAGTAATCATCCTCAGGTATGTCTTGGGTATTGTAGAATCTGTTTATGGAGGTACTATCAAAGCAGATCCACTGACCCCTTACAAACACCTTAATGTCTTCATGTTCCTTTGCATTGGCGTAAAATTCCTTAACTAGGGGATGGATGTAGCTCTAGGTTGCAGGGAAAATGTTGTCCATCCTAGACTTTCTATTTTCTCGACCAATAAGTTCTCAAAGCCTCTTTTTGAATTGCAATTTTGGTGTATTACACTTTGTTTATAGCACTCCTCTGCTTAGACTAATGAATCTCTTCCGATCAAATGCCATAGTAAATAAGAAAGTAGTGACTTTGGATTTCTTTCTTGGAGGCATGACTCGCTTATCCTGATTGAAGATCTGAAAATCAGTCAATGGGGTCCCTAAATATTCACTCTGTAAATTGTGTAAGCCGCTTATACCCACACCAAAGCACAATTGCGAAAGAATTCACAATAGGTCACTTAGGCAATTTGTTGAGCACCTTGCAGATACAATCCCAAGCAAGCACAATGTAATGCTTATGTTTTCAATATATACCCAATCACTTAAGAATTTACAAATCAACCATTAACCCGAAAATTAAGAAGAAACCCCCCCTTCAATTTTATCTTAGATAATGGATATTGTTGGTGTCTATGCAACCCAAGTTGGGAAGATGGAAAATGTTGAAACTACAAGTGTGTAGAGGGGGTGGGAAATGAGGAAAATAATTTGTTGTGGTGGAAGAAAGGAGATTAATGCAAGTAATGCTAGTGTGGAAAGATGGAATTGGGAGGAGAAAGGGGAGAAAGGAGGGGGAAATTAGGGATAGAAATGAAGAAGGGGGGTATTTTTTTTATTTTTTTTTATAAAAAAATGTGTTTTAATTTTTTTATTATTTTTTATTATTTTTAAAATATGGTTGGGCACAGCGGCACCCATGTTTCTGCAAAAAAAAAAAAAAAAAAAAAAAATTTTTTACTTTTTTTAATGAACGGCGTCGCGGTGCCCATATTCTGAAAAAACTTAAAAATGATTTTTTTTAAAGTTAAATTACCTCCATTGTACTCCCTTCCCCACGTTGAATGTAGTGTTGATGCAACCATATTTGAGCATGTTCCCACAAATCCAAAAAGAAAACAAGATTACTAAAGTTGCCTAAGAAGAAAAGAAAACGTTTGACTAAGGAAAAGAATTTTAGGGATAGAACTTGGGTTGCCTTCTAAGAAGCGCTTCTTTTACGTCATTAGCTGGACGTGATGTGAATTTAATTTGATTCTTTGAGAGCAATTTTTTCCACATATCGATCTTCATCTCCATAATAATGTTTGAGGTGTTGACCATTTGCCTGAAAAGACGTTCCATTCTTACTCACCAATTCCACAGAATCGTAAGGAAAAACTTTATGTACTACGAATGGCCCTGACCACCGTGATCTAAGCTTTCTTGGAAATAATTTCAGGTGAGAGTTGAATAGAAAAACTCGTTCTCCCGGCTTGAATTCTCTCATAAAGATCCTCTTGTCATGCCATACTTTCATTCGCTCCTTGTATATTTTTACATTTTCATAAGCATCATTCCAGAATTCTTTCAATTTATCAAGTTGTAGCAAACGCTGGTTACTGGCCAATTTCATATCCCGATTCAACCTTTTAAGTGCCCAATAGGCTCGATGTTCCAGCTCAACCAGCAGGTGACATGCCTTGCCAAATACCAGGCGGTAGGGTGACATTCATATTGGTGTTTTGAAAGCTGTTCGGTATGCCCACTGTGCGTTATCAAGCTTCTACGCCCAATCTTTTCGATATGAGTTCACTGTTTTCTCCAATATTTGCTTAATCTCTCTGTTGGAAATTTTTGCTTGCCCATTTGTCTAGGGGTGGTAGCTAAGTGCCAATTTGTGCCAGATATTATATTTGGCTAAAAGAGAGTTGAAAAGTTTATTACGGAAATGCATTCTTTCTTCACTTACGATTGCTCTAGGAGTGCCAAATCGAGTGAAGATATTTTTATACAGAAACTTCAAAACTACCTTTGCGTCGTTTGTTGGAGTTGCAATGGCTTCAACCCATTTGGACACATAGTCCACTGCAAGAAGAATGTATACTTGATCGAAGGATGGTGGAAAGGGACCCATGAAGTCTATGCCCCATACATCAAATAATTCCACTTCAAGCACATTAGTCATGGGCAGCTCATGATATCTCAAGATGTTCCTGGTGCGCTGACAACGGTCACATATTTTCACAAAGGCATAACAATCTTTGAAGAGAGTTGGCAGATAGAATCTCGATTGTAATACCTTGGATGCAGTTCCGATAGGACCAAAATGACCTCCATAAGGTGAGGAATGATATTGCTCCATAATTGACTGCCTCTTCCATAGGAATACAACTTCTGATTATCCCATCTGCACATCTCTTGAAGAGCAGTGAATCATCCTACAAATATGACTTGACATCATGTAAAAATTTCTTCTTTTGATGGGAAATAAAGTCAGGTGGCATTTTTCTATATACCAAATAGTTGACAAAGTTAGCATACCATGGAGTCAATGTTGAAACTGCTAAAAGAAACTCACCTAGAAAAGTTTCTTGAATAAGACCATCTTCTATCGCATTCTTATTCTCTAGTCGTGAAAGATGATCAGCAACAACATTCTCACTACCTCTCTTATCTCGAACTCCACATCGAATTCTTGTAGCAGTAGGATCCATATAATCAGGCTTAGCTTAGCATCTTTTTTTCAAAGAGATAATGGATGGCAGCATGATCTGTGTAGATGATTACTTTAGTACCAATGAGATAGGATCTGAATTTATCACAAGCAAAAATCACTGCTATCATTTCTTTCTCCGTTGTTGTGTAATTCAGATGAGTTTCATTCAAAGTTTTGCTAGCATAGTGAATTGCTCAGAATATCTTTTCATGCCTTTGTCCTAGAACTGCCCCAACTGCCTAATCACTGGCATCACACATGACTTTAAATGGTCGACCCCAATCTGGAGCTACCATTATTGCAGCTGCGACCAATTTCTCCTTTATTACTTCAAATGCTTTTAGGCAATTTTCATCGAACACGAATGCGATGTCTTTCTCCACAAGGTTGTACAAGGGTTTAGCTATCTTTGAAAAGTCTTTAATGAACCTCCTGTAAAACCCAGCGTACCCCAACAAAATTCGAATGCCTTTGACATTGATAGGTGGTAGCAATTTTGCTATTGTATTGATCTTTGCTTTGTCCACTTCAAGTGCCCTTGCTGACATATGGTGTCCTAGAACGATATCCTTTTGTACCATGAAGTGGCACTTCTCCCAATTAAGAACTAAATTTTTTTCTTCACAACGTTGCAAAACTAGAGACAGGTTGTAAAGGTAATTATCAAAAAAAGTACCAAGTACAGAAAATTATCCATGAATACCTCCATGATGTCCTCTATCATATCTGCAAAGATCGCCATCATGCATCTTTGGAATGTTACTGGTACATTGTATAACCTAAAAGGTATCCGTATGTATGCAAAAGTCCCATATGTGCAAGTGAATGTTATTTTTTCTTGGCTTCTAGTGCAATTGCAATTTGATTATAGCCCGAGTAACCATCGAGAAAACGGTAGTAGAGTAGCTAGCTAGTCTATCCAACATTTGGTCAATGAATGAAATTGGGAAGTAATCCTTTCTGGTTGCCTTGTTCAGCTTTCTGTAATCAATACACGCCCTCCAGCCATTTACTGTCCTTGTTGGAATTAGCTCATTGTTGTCATTCTTAATTAATGTCATCCTGCCCTTCTTCGGTACCACTTGTACTGGACTGACTCATTCACTGTCTGAGATAGCAAATATGATTCCTGCCTTTAGTAGCTTCAGTATCATTGCTCACACCACTTCTTTTATTGCTGGATTTAATCTTCTTTGGTGCTCAATCGATGGTTTATAAGATTCTTCCATAAGAATTTTGTGTATGTATATGGTCAGACTTATACCCTTAATATCAACCATAGACCATCATAAAGCTGCCTTATGTACTCTCAGCACATTTAATAATCTATCTTCTTTATCCCTGGTGAGTGAGGAAGAGATTATCACTGGGGATGCAAATTTTCCACCAAGAATGCATACCAAAGATGATTAGGTAGCTGCTTCAATTTGGTTTTAGTGCTTTCATTGCTTTTATTCTCATCTGGTCCTATCGTCTGTTGAATATCTTCATTCTTTGATGGAACATTTCCATTTGGCAAAGATTAAAGAGCTAATATGTAATCAACTAGGTCCTTGCTGCCCATTTACTCTCCTGAGGCGGTAACATCATCCTGTGTTGCACTCATTATTATACAATGCTCTAGGTGGTCTTTAATTAGTACTCTTCTTCTTTTACTACAACATCAATGAAGTCAATTCTGTGGCACGTGTTTGTATCATCTGGAAATTGCATTGCCTGGTATATATTGAACTTCATATCTTCTTCATTTACTATTAAGGTTAACTGACCTCCCTGGACATCGATCAAGGCTCCCCCAGTTGCTAGGAAAGATCTGCCTAGTATCAGTGGAATTTCCTAATCTTCTTCCATGTCCAACACTACAAAATCAGCTGGGAAAATAAATTTGTCGACTTTCACCAGCACATCTTCAATAATTCCTCGTAGGTAAGTGAGGGATCGATCAGCTTACTATAAAGTCATCGTTGTTGGCTTAACTTTCCTCAGACCTAACTTCTTGAATATTGAGAGTGGCATCAGATTTAAGCTGACTCCAAGGTCATAAAGAGATTTATCAAAAGAAGAATCTCCAATAGTGCAGGGAATGGGGAAGCTACCTGGATTCTTCCTTTTCTGGGAGAGCTTCTTTTGAAGGATTACACTACATTCTTCTGTCAACTTCATCATTTCATATTCTTCCAATTTCCTCTTCTTTAACATTACCTCTTTCATGAACTTCACATAGATTGGCATTTAATCTAGAGCATCAACAAATGGGATGTTAATATGAATCTTCTTGAAAATATCCAAGAATTTGGCAAACTGTGCATTCAATTTCTTCTTTTGAGATCTTTGTGGAAATGGAAGTGTGGGTTTGATGATTGGTGGGTTATCACGAAAGGATATAGAGTAAGGCTTGTAATCCTTAAGTGCTTCTTTGATCTTATTTTCTTGTGTTGTATTTGGCTATTTTTTCTCCTTGTCACGGGTAGTAGTAGTTTTTTCTGTAAGTACATTTTCCCAATTTTCTTATCACTTCTCAATGTGATGGCCTTGCAATATTCCTTCGAATTTATCTCTGTGTCACTTGGAAACTTTCCTTGTTGTTGGGATTTCACTAATGTAGCTAACTACCCTATCTAAACCTCAAGATTTTTCATTGTAGCTCCCATGTTGGTCATATGCGTTTCGATATTATCCAACCTCAAATCATCTTTGTTGAACTGTGATCTTGTCTCAGAAATGAAAGTTCTAAAAATATCTTCTAAAGATGGCTTCCCTTCAGAATGTTGATTGTTGAACCCCGGTAGAGATTGAAGTATGTTTTTGTTGTTGCCATATGAAAAATTTTCATGGTTTCTCATCCCTGGATGACAGTGATTGGAAGAATAGTTACCCTTCTGTGTGTTTCTGTTGTTGCCATATGAAAAATTTTCATGGTTTCTCATCCCTGTATGACAGTGATTGGAAGAATAGTTACCCCTTTGACTGAAATTTCCGCTGTTGACATATTGTGTTTGTTCATTCACTATTTCTGCCTCCGGATGAACTGAGGAAGTGGCCATAACCGAATTTACTTTATTGTGATTTCCTTGCGTAGTGAGTATAGCTATTTGATTGATAAGTGATGACACTTGAGATGCCAATGCTGTGATGGGATCTACTTCATGCATACCTGCTACCTTCTTCATGCTTGATCTTTTACTTCGCCATTGATAGTAGTTTGTAGCTATGTCATCCAACAAAGAATATGCTGCTTCTACTATTTTAGCCATTAGAGTTCTTTCTGCAGCCGCATCCCCAATGGTTTTGGTTTGCCCATTTAGCCCGTCGTAAAAAATCTCAATATGCATCCAATTCTGATAACCATGTTGAGGACATCATCTGAGCAAGTCTTTGAATCTTTTCCAAGCTTCATGGACCGGTTCAAAATCAAATTGCTTGAATTGACCAATTTCACTTCTAAGTTGAGTCGACCTGGAAGGACGAAAATACTTGGTGATAATTTTTTGAGTTAGATCATCCCAAGTAGTGATAGAGCTATACGGTAGTGATTGGAACCACGATTTAGCCTCATTTCTCAGGGAGAAAGAAAATAAATGCAGCCTGATCGCATTTGTCGTAACTCCATTCAATTTTTATCGTATTACAAATCTCCAAAAATGAGCCCAAATGAGCATTTGGATCTTCTGTAGAACTTCTCCCAAACTGGTTCTGCTGAACCATAAGTATGAGCTCTGGCTTCAGTTCAAATTTTTTTGCTACAATAGTGGGGCGTGCAATACTAGAGTAGTTATCATTGACGGCCGATCTAACATGGTCCCTAATAGGCCTTGGTTGATTATTTTCTTGAGCTGCTCTTGCATCCTATTCTTCCATTGTTTCACGTTCATCCCTACGTAAACCCCTTAGAAGACGAAATGTGCGTTCTGGTGTAGGATCAATAGGCAATAGATAAGGATTTCTCGCCCTTCGCATAAAAAATGAAAACCAAGGGGATTGTTGGAAGTAGAAATAAAATTAACAAAGTAACAACAAAATTCAAATTAAAGCAAAGTTAATTGGTAATAATATTAATAGAAATCAATCAAAACAATTTCCGACAACGGTGCCAAAAACTTGCCACACGTTTTATGCAACGTGGTTTAGCCGCATGTGTACGGTATCAAGTTATCTAATATAGTGATGGAATTGAAATGTCAAACCCACAGAGATAGTTGTTTGATTCCTATTGAATACTGTAATTATTTTAACTTCAACTTTATTCAGAAAACCAATTTTTGACTTGATTTGGTCATGCTAAATTAATATGTTGTAAATTAAATGGCAATTCAAACAACTCAAGATGAAATAAAAATAAAAATAATTAATGCAAGGAAGTCTAGGGAATGATTTCACCGCCCTATCAACAATGTTTTTCAATCTCAATGGTTATTTCTCTAAATTATTCTCAATTTATAGGCAAGAACCGTAAATTAATCTCATTCCCTCTCTCGAGTACCGAATAGAATTTATTTCTATACTCTAATCCCAATATCTCTATTCCGGATTAGGTCTATAAAAATTATTAAGCTCTTGGTTCTTAATTTGAATTAAGCCTAAAAGAATTCGTACTTTCTCTTGAAATCCACAAAATCTAAGTTATGTTATTCATAGATCAAGATTAAATTTTGCTCTCTCGAGTGCCAAAATTCAATACATCAATTGATTTAGCCATTGATCAAGTGATTGGAAGCAATAAGCATGAATAACACAAATAAATGCCAGAGAATTAAAGAAATACCATATCAACATCCAAACATTGTATCAAGTTAGGTTACATCAACACTAGATCTAAGATTTTAGTTCATAATCGATGAAAATGATATTCTAAAATACAGATAAACGAGCATGGAGAAGAAGGGATTAGGAAAAACTCAGTTGATGCTTCGAATCTTCTTCCAATGATTGTGATCTTCCTTCTTGAAATGCTTTTTCTCCTGTTTTTACCTTGAGTAGTCTTTTTTATGCCAAAAAAAGTCCCCCTTCTTGGGCTTTTTCGTGGTATTTATCTTTCCCAAAAGTTACAAGACGGAAAGGATCGGACCTGAGCCAGGAAAAAATGCAACTTTCCTATTTTTGCGCCGGGCACGCGACGTTGGCGCCAGCTTTGTTGAATTTATTTTTTATGTTGGGCGTCACAGCGTCCATGAAGCTTCCCCTTCTTGCTATGTTCAATTTCAACACTTCGTACCCATGTTCTTTTCCTTCGATTCTCTTCACTTCATACTCGAATTTTATGATCTTCATTACGGCTCCATCACAATTCCAAAACATGGCGTTTTCTTGAAAGTTGTCTAAATTGCAAAACAACATGAAAACCCCATCAAAGCATTCAAATGTGCTCGACGACAACTCGAAAACTAAGATTTAAAGGTGCTAAATTGATGAGTGAATTGCACTCATCAAACACCACCACCAATTGCGAACATCACCAACAAAACACACCCTAAAACCCCAGCAGTAGCCTGAGCCATTAATAGAGCTGTTCCCACCTCTACCACTACTTTACCATTGTCGCCACCACCACCACCACTACCACCACCAAAATCACTACACAAACCATATCCAAAATCAAAGTTGCAACGTCATCATTGCTATTGTAGTGGATATTAAGCGTGATGCTATTAGCACGCACAATGGTGTTACAATAAGAAATAAATGTGCACGCCGTATTCAGACTATCTTTTCTTGTCTTTTGACGGCATTGTTCCATGTGTAAGGAAGAAAATAGAGAAAAAAGAGAGAATGAGTGGAGAGAGAGAAAAGAAAAGGGAAATAATTAGGGTTTAAAGCGAATTTGGTGGGGGTAGGGTGGGGTGAATAAGTAGATTAAGCCCATGTTTGAATATCATTAAATTACATTCTATTTTTCTCTCTTATATTTAACCACACAATTTTTCATAAAATAATATATACACGTAAATCAAAAAATTTTCTTTATTTTTCAACCACCTTTTTTTTCAAAAAAATAAAAATGCTATTCTACCCATTTTCATTTTCAAAAAATGGGGGCCAAACGGGGGCTAATTTAATGTCATAATTTTTTTTATTACTACTAAAAATTTGAATAATCATTTGAATTTTAAATAAAAAACTAAACAAAATTTTTGAATTGAAAAGTTAAAAAATATGCGTGGGTGTAAATTCCACTTTTTATTATACATAAAAATGAAGGGCTCGAATTCAAGATTTTAAGGATGTTTGGGTAAACATGTTTCCGCTAGAATGCATTCATGAGTTGGTACTATTTTAACAAAATTGATTATTTCTATGTTGAACTATGGTTGACTGTAACCTTAAAGTCTTCAAAAGTATTCATTGATAAATCGATCGTCGTCAAAAGATCAAAGTCAAATTAATCATTATAAATCGAACTCAACAAATTAATCTTATTTTTTAAATAATTGATTTAAAGTTAACATAGTCTTCAAAAGTATTCATTGATAAATCGATTTTCGTCAAATATCAAGATCAAGTTCATTATTAGAAACTGGACTCCACAAAGAAGGTCAAAATCAAAATCATGTCTTTCAAAGCATTTAAATCTTTTCCTCCAAGATGAGATCTAAGAGTAAAATTTCGATGAAAGATCTAATACTAGACTTTTTGAACCGAATCTATAGGTTCGAATACTTTGATCTTTAGCATGAATGATAAAAAGCTATTTTATGTACCAAAAGTTATTTTTGATTATAACTTGCATAAAAAGTTTTGATCAAGGTAAAATGATATTTGAATTTGGACATATTTTTAAAATATCATTTATCTTTGAAAAATTAGTTGAAAGCACTTTCCAAAGTTCTACAATTCTAAAACATTCAAATTGAATCAAATAAGGCCGAATCGGACAACTAGTCTGACGAATTGATTGACAGTTCGGTCCAATCGATCAATTGAACTAGTCAATCGAATGAGGAGACCGGTCGATCGAAAATGTAACATTTTGACTTCTAACCTTTTTATCCAACGGCTATTTTTTTTAGTCATCCGAACTTTTATTTGTTGACCGATATTTATCCCTATTACGAAATGTCTCGTTATCCTTTCATTTTGGCGAATACCCTCTATATGATCTCTTAAGTGTGAAAAAGACCCCTACCATACAAATTCATTAATTTAGGAGTTAAATTTACTTAAAATAGTCAAAATTAAAAAGGGATAATTGTTACTGATGCTGCCAAAAATCGTACCTGTTGATTTCCCGAGCTTGA